CTCCTACCCCTCCTCCTCCTCATCATCATCATCCTCCTCCTCATCATCCTCCTCCTCATCATCATCCTCCTCCTCATCATCATCATATCCTCCTCCTCCTCATCATCCTCCTCCTCATCATCATCCTCCTCCTCATCATCATCATATCCTCCTCCTCCTCATCATCCTCCTCCTCATCATCATCCTCCTCCTCATCATCATCATATCCTCCTCCTCCTCATCATCCTCCTCCTCATCATCATCCTCCTCCTCATCATCATCATATCCTCCTCCTCCTCATCCTCCTCCTCCTCATCATCCTCCTCCTCCTCCTCCTCATCATCATCATCATCCTCCTCCTCATCATCATCATCCTCCTCCTCATCATCCTCCTCCTCATCATCATCATATCCTCCTCCTCCTCATCATCCTCCTCCTCCTCATCATCATCATCATCCTCCTCCTCATCATCATCATCCTCCTCCTCATCATCCTCCTCATCATCATCATATCCTCCTCCTCCTCATCCTCCTCCTCATCATATCCTCCTCCATCTCATCATCCTCCTCATCATCCTCCTCCTCATCATCATCCTCCTCCTCCTCATCTCATCATCCTCCTCCTCCTCCTCCTCCTCCTCCTCACCATGTGATAGTGCTTCTTGGTGAGCAGCAGGATTCCTCCCACGTAGGTCTTGTAGTGGTACAGCGGGTGCAGGTCCGGAGAGGCCACGTGGAAGGGTCCGTCCTCGGGGAACCCGTAGTCCAGGTCCTGGTTGAGGGGCAGCAGGTCCACGTCGTGCATGGCCAGGTAATCCGTGTCGTTCCCGCTCTCCAGGTAGCCCACGTTGATGAGAGACGCTCGGTTGAACCTGGAACAACGAGACGCTGGTTTACAGTCCCTGCACCTGACAGGTCCAAACACAGACCAGAACCAGAACCTGCTCTGAGCGGACGCCTCACCTGTAGTGATCCACCTGGTTGATGACCAGGATCTTGTGGCGGATCTTCTTGGTGTTCAGGAAGTTGTGCATGAAGGGAACAAAGAGCAGCAGCTCGTCGAAGCGCTCCCTGAAGGGGACCAGCAGGGCCAGTTTGTGAGGACCCCAGGAGGGCTGGTCCAACGCAGGCGCYGGACCGTCGGCCGCGCAGGGCGGCGCCGGCTGGAGGACACGCCTCTCGTCGGGCGTCGCCGAGGACACGTCACCTGAACAGCTGAGCTGCAGCCACAGCAGGGAGACCAGAACCAGGACCATGCAGAGTCCAAACAGCTTGTAGACCGTACACCTCCCCGACAGGAACCTGGAACCCAGAGCAGGACGGCTTCAAGCTTTGACCCGGTTCTGGTTCTGACACACACAGGCTCTGCTACAGGTGGTCTCAACACTGCACGCCAACGTGCAAAAGTTTTAAACCAGTCCTCTTTCCTTCTGGCTTCACAGAATTCACCCTCCTGCTGCCGTTGGGTCAAACGACCCGTTTTGAAAAYGCCTCGACCCAAAGCCAGCAGGAGGTTAAACATATGGATTATTGATCAGCTGTCACTCATATCAGCTGGCTGTGAGTCAGAGAGCAGCTGACACAAACAGACAGTGTTTTAATGAACAGGTTTTAAACAGTTTCAACCATTAAAACCAGTTCTCTCTCCTGGAGAAGTTCTGAACCCAAACACAACTGTTTGGTTCCCAAACTCTTCCTCAAACCTTAAATAAATTTAATTCAATCATTTCTGTCAAATAAAAACAGTTCAAAGAGTCAAAGTGTCGACCTGCACATGTTCAGGTGTAAACCATCAGGACAGGTGAACTGGTTCCAGTTCCTGTTGGACCAGCACACTGAGCTCTCCTTCATGGATTTATTTATGGATTATTCTGACTTAAAGCTGATTTATTTTGTTTTTTAAAAGGACCTGAAGGGGTCCCAGGACCAGAGTTTGGGGAGCACTTTGTTACAGAGTAAAGTTKAAAGCTGACTCACCTGTCCTGATGATGGAGGACCTCACACCTGTTGGTTCTTTAACGAAGAGCCGTGATGAACAGAGAGCTCTGTTCACTTCATTTGTTTCATCAGGACACAGTTTCACACAGTAAAATTAAGGTTTTCAGTTATTATTTTATATTTAAATATATAAGTAAGGATCATTGGGCCTCATGTAGGAACATGTTCGTATTCTTCTCCTAAATTTCTCCTACTTTTGTTCGTACAAAGGCTTCGTACGAACATGTCACGTCAGATTCAACAAACTCTTCTATCTTCAGGTAAATCAGGGTTCCTACAGTTAAAACAAGTTCAATTTAAGACTTTTTAACACCTGTTTAATGCCACTTCAAATTTATTTTAAGACCAAATTCATAACAAACAATATAAAAAAAAAAAGATGAGATGCATCAGGAGAAAAAAACAACCAGCTCTGAGAGGCATTCAGCCAATTATTTTTTAAAAACTAAATAAATGTTAACAATTATTTTAACTTTTGATTTGAATTACAATCATCCTGTTTAGCTACAATATGTTTTTAAGACCTCTGAAAGCTTGATTTAAGACATTTTAAGGCTAATTAAAGCCTTATTTTTGGTTTGATGAATTCAAGACCTTTTAAGAGTTTTTAAGGACCTGCAGGAACCTGAGAAACAAGATTTCATCCTAAAGAAATACTGGGTCAAGAGAAAACACAAAGATAAACACAAGTGATATCTAAGAATGACTGTTGTTAGTAAATCTTGTTCTGACTTTAACCAGTCTGTCTGCCGATGAACAGAATGTCATGAAAACCTAGGTCATTAAAATATGTCATGAATTACTTGTTTAAACATAAAAGTATTAGTTTCATCACACATGTTTTTATATTATGCATTTAAAAATATATTTTCTGGTATTTTATTGTAAAATCTGACTTGTTGGATTTGTTCTTTGTCAATGAAAAGATATAATTACAGTTTGTTTTTGTAAGACTACAGTTAACAATACTCTAAATGACTGATTGTTCTTATTTCAACCTTATCTTTATTTTTAAAACAGTATTATGTTTTAATATTTGATTAAAATAAAGTTTTATAGAATATAATCTAATATAGTTAGAATACCTTTGACCAAACTGCCAGTTAAGAGATACATGCAAGCAGACTCGGACTTGCAAGAAAAAAAATAACAAAATAAAATAAAATAAAATAAAAAATAAAAACATCCATCTGTGTGTTCTGGTTTTAGACAGGCTCTGATTCCAGGAAGTCAGATTAAGCAGGAGGTAAAGATGACTGGTTAAAGTTATGGATCAGAGTAAAATGTGTGGACTAGTTAAACTGTAAGGTCCTGGAGGAACCGGTTCAGAATTTACTCTTTTTGTTCTGATTCTGTCCAACAGAGAGGGGCCTGATCCTGGCACTGCCTGGGTCAGGTTTTCATGTTTATCCTCCGCTTAGCTGTTTAAAATCTATCCTAAGGTTTTATCTGGTTTGTTTTCTGCTTTGGTTTGAAAAATCGTTGCAAAACTGTGACACACATCATGTCTACAGAGCTCCGCACTTTTTATGTTATAATGGAAGTCAATGGARCACTGGTTTCTTAACTTCCAGCCTTTAAAGACCAGTAGTTTAGGACTCTGTACACAGAGCCTTAAGAGTACAAAAAGTAAATCAGCTCTAAAATAAATTTGAAAATTTTATCAAAATCCCTACAAATAGGTTTAAAAGAAGACGCAGTGGCTCAGTGGTCCTGAGGCCACAGGTTTGATGCCCAGAGGCCCCAGTTTACCTCCATCCGGCCCTGGATGAAGCAGATCTGAACTCATTCTTGTTTTATTTTCCTCTAATGTCAAATATTGTCTAATAAATTACATTTTAATGAAAGGTTCGTGACTTCCTTTCAGAATATATAAATATATTATCATGTAAATCTGATTTTATTTGTCTTTCTTACCTTCTTTCCTCTTTAAAGTAGAGAACTGGCTTCCTGCTCCTGGATGAATACATGTTGTTCTCCGGCTACTTCCAGCCCGTTCACCGGCTGCTTCCTGCCCGTTCACCGGCTGCTTCCTGCCCGTTCACCGGCTGCTTCCAGCCCGTTCACCGGCTGCTTCCTGCCCGTTCACCGGCTGCTTCCAGCCCGTTCACCGGTTACTTCCAGCCCGTTCACCGGCTGCTTCCAGCCCGTTCACCGGTTACTTCCAGCCCGTTCACCGGCTGCTTCCAGCGGACAGACTCCCAGTCACTCCCGCTTCATTCTGCTCTCTCCCGGACCTCCATGCTGGCTCTCTGCTCGCTGAAATCACTGCTTCAAACTCATGTTCGGAACCGGCCCGACCCGACACGGAGCCGTTAGCAGAGGGGGCTAGCGCTCTGTCCACGTAGCATGAAGCGGGTGGAGCGGTCCGCGGGCTCCGGTGACCCCCACCGACCGATTCACGGCTTTATTTCCTCCGAGGCAGCGACACTGAAGGTCCGGTAAACACTACCTTTACTGGGTGGTTCATTTTACCGAACAGAACCTCACGAACCGGCTCATCTGGGCTGATTAAACGCTAGCTAAAATTCATAAAACCGTTTAACGCAGCGTCCGACTGAGAAATGAGTCCGACAGAAACTTCAGACAAGATTAAAGGTTCCTACAAACAACAATGTACTTTATATATTTTACTAATATAAAAATGTTTTAAAACAACTAAACCAAGAACAAACTGTAAACAATGAAAATAGATTTTTTGTTTTTATTATAATTTTTGATAATGTCACAGCATTATACTGTTTCTGTGGGCTGATGTAATCTGCTGCTACTACACCTGAACGGGACAATAAAGGCTGATTCTATTCTATTCTATTCTATTCTATTCTATTCTATTCTATTCTATTCTATTCTATTCTAT